AAAGTTGAGTTTATACTAATAGTACACAACGCTTGGCATGCCATGAACGGCTATGTACAATGGCGTATACGAGTGCGATCAGATACTAAAACGTCATAGCCTTTGAAAAGTACCCGGATGTTAAATATGTTCGTTCGTTAATTATTCCCCTCCATGAATGGCCTCCATGGCAAGCACTTCAAATGCCTATCCAAGCTACAGTTATAATTAAAACAAAATTAAATCACTGCAATATTATTTCGAATACAGTTTAGAATATACACAACTATAAATTAAGGCCGCATTTAGGTTCGCTTTAAAAGCACTGATTTGTTTATTCTTCATAAATCTTGTTGTCCCTTGGATCGTTCTGATCACTATGCATTTGCTGGATGTATGTTCAGTACAACTAAATGTACCCTGACTCAAAAGTCGGCTGGGCCTAGTTGGATCTGGTCTTTCTAAGCGGACCAAACAAGATTTGCCAAGATTTAAAGTGCCTGTGAAATGCCCACCCACACGTTTCCCATTTTAGATCTGTGTCCCACTGAAATGGACAGTTATTGATTTTGTTGTTGAAAATGATTACTTGTTTCCAAGTAATTTTTAAATATTTATTGGGCTGTAGCCATGCCCACCTATCTTGAAATGGTTGACTGTTTTTTGTTATTTCCGACTCTCATCGAAGATAAAGTGCGCCACCAAATGCCAAAATATGAGAGGAAGCCATACTCTTGAGCCCTGCTTTTTTAAAACTGGTCATTCAACATACTTTCAAACGATATATATATTTGGTCGGTGTTTTTTGTCTTTTTTTTTTTGGAATGGACCTTCTCCTTACTGTCATATGTAGTGTTCACTTTACTTTAGAATCTTTTTCGAAAAACTGTCCTCGTTCATGAAAGAACAACTACGTTATGAAGAGAAGCACCAACAACTTAAACCTGGTGCAATACCAACACTTGTTCGTGTTATGTAAGAGGTAGCAATAATTGTGATAATGACTCGAAAACGAAGCATCGGATAAAAGGGGAAATTACACAGCCCTTACACACAATGATGATCACAGTGACCAGCTTCGCAAAGAGGACATATTTTGTATCTACCTCAACCCTATGCGACAAAATTGATATTATGCAATGTAAGCTGCCAAGCAAGTTTCTCTGCTTACGTCACATGCAGAATTTCTGTATGCTAATGAGAAACTAATGAGGAGCCTCGTTTTAAAGTGTAACTGAATTGGGCCAATTGATTTTTTTTTTGTGCAAAATTTATTTATAAACAACAGTGTTCTTCCCAAGATGTAAACAGCGTGGCGATCCCGCCACAGTGCTTCGATTTGCCGCCACACCGGTCTGACACCACTACGGTGATTAGCAAGACCGCCACAGTGCTTTTTTCATTGGGGATCTCATCACGCTGGTCGGCCCGACCGGCACTCAAAATTAGCGACCACCACGGAAACACTTCCGACCAGGACTATTGTCATATTGTTATTGTACTTACGTACCGACCGACAAGCATCCTGCCAGTCGTGGATAA